AACTAATAGTGGGCTAGGTAATATACTACATAATTATTAGACCAATGTAAGATGGAACTGAGTCTTTATTCATAATAGTATAATGTTAATTATTAAAAATTTGTTTATGTTGCTAAAAGGCACTCATAATTATTAGTAATAAGTAATAGATTTGAAGACATCTAAGTTTCATTTAGTTCAGTTGCATGACGTTGTGTATTTCTGTTGCTATAGTAAGTGTTTTATGTTTTAATTTCTTTACAATTTTTAATATTTTTGAGGTTTCTGTGTGTATACTAATAACTTTGTTATGTATATCTTATGTGAATTAACATATTGAAATTAAAGATCATTTTTTGACAATCATTCACGTAGAATGGCATTTATATTTTGAATTATGCATGGATCTAATACGTATACAATATTTCCATTAAGCATATCACACATATCTAAAGTGAATGTTCCAAATAGAATGATAATAATTTACTTATGCTGATAATAAGAATCATTGATGTTTCTATTCAAGATTATAGCCGAATAACTTAAAAGTGTTATACCGTTTTAAAGAAAAAGTCAGTTTTTCCACCAAAGAAATCAGTTTTACATTGCCTATAAAAAGACTATAAATAAAGATAAAATATTGCTTGTCAGTTCAATTCCTGAAGAAATGTATATCAAATCGATCGGTCTTTATCCGAAGTTGATCGGTAGATTACATTTTGAGTCATTCTGCACTCCAACTTGAAAAACATGGTTTCAAAAAAAGCGCGTTTAAAGTTGGGAACCCTGACGCATCTCCATATGTGTGCTTCTAACTTCGTTATTTTTATGAATTCGCCCGTAATATTGTAGGATCATATTTTTCAGATGTTGTACTTTCAATTTATGCAAACAAAAACAAATCTATTTTTTTAAACTTTCAAACTGGACTTCCCCTTGAAGCACATTATCGAAATTTAAACTTTTATTATTAATAACAGTAGAAATATTATAGATGTGCGTTCAGCAGCTGTTAGGAATTATTTTCAATTGTACTTGATTTATTTTACTTTTTGTTTTATTCGTACAATATGGTACAAAAAATTTATTTTAATACATTTCGATATACGATAATACCACATTTTTGCTGCAATATTTTAACTTCCTAAATTGTTTAAGATTATACTCACTTCACACTTGTCTGAATATAAACGCACTTCAAGCAAATGTACATGTGCAGATAAATTTGCTGCTGGAGAGGAAGTAGTTCCATTAAAACAAATTGTCCAATGGAATAAGCCTTTTCTGCTGCAAGGCCGATACTCTTGAAATGAATAATTTTCTGTCTGGTAACCTTGTTAGATTTAGCTCTTAGTCTTTCATAAAAACCGTAACTATTAAAATAAAAAATTTCATTTTGCACTACAAATGCTTGAATTCTAATAATACAATAAATTATCCACATGAATAAGAGAAAATTTAAATAGTAACAATCACGTAGATTATTATTTATTAAATATGTTACGTGGAATATAAATAACCATTTTTATTAAATATTATTATGTCTTGCACATTTTTATATAAATACCTATGATATTCTAAATTTTGAAAATCAACATTATTTTTTCTATTTTTAACATTTTTACGCAAAAGATTGCACTTTTTGTAAGTACATGATATTTTTTCACACTTTTGTACAAAGTCCGGAAATCATGTAAATATGATACGTGTGAAAATTACCATTTAAAACTTTGGAATATAAGAAGTTTAACCCGCGCTGATTTTACTTTCTTTGAATTTTTATATACATAATCTACAAAGATTACTGCAACATAAAGTGTTCAATTTTTCTATGGAAAAATGACGGGTCGATTCGATTGACTATAATTGCTCATTGTGTTAATTTTGAAAAAGAATGACTATTGGATGTTGGTGAAAGACTTCAGATTAACCTTTCCCACTCTTTTTATCTAAATTCAAGGATAATTTTTTTATCAATTTTTTTTATATCAGTATTGTGGCATAACCTTCTTTGTATCCAATTTTCTGCACAAATTGATTAACGAAACGAAAAAATAGTTTAATTCGCGATAGTCATTGTCAAAATTTACATGCGGCGCTGCATTTTGCATTTACATACACATGGGTTTCTGTAATTACAGCAACTAGTTAATGCAGAGTGTTATAATGATCAACTAATTAAACTAAATAATGCACTAATTGAAAGAGGAGCTTTCTCCGGATGAGGGAGTCGGAAAGTTACACTCATGTACGTTAATACATGCTGGGCTACATGTTACAAAATCTACACAGGAAATTATAAATCTGGACTGAAAAGTTGCAGCACACGTGACTTATTTCTCAGACTAGGCACCAAGTACGTACTTATCCACCATTTTTCTCTCTCAAATGAATAAAGCATTTGTTAATGGACAAGCAGTTTAAAATTCGTCGATTACATTATTTAAAAATTTATAACATTTTTCAGTGATGAAATTTGCAAATAATATTTCGATTTGAAAAAATTCTGTTGTAAAACTCATGTAGTAATGCATAAAGCACAAAAAAAGGAAAAACACGGAATATAATATTCCTTTGAAATGAATAAGGTACTTGTTAAGAGACAAGCAATTTAAGCTTCGTCTATTACAATATTTAAAAATTTATAACATTTTTCAGTGATGAAATTTGCAGGTTATATTTCGATTTAAAAAAGTTACTATAAATACATAAAGCATAAAAAAAGGAACAACTTTTTATCAGCGCAATTTAATATTTAAGTTGTTTATATATTGTCATATTTCTTAATGCACATTAAGCGAATTAACCGTATTTATGGTGGACTAAAAATGTTAAAAATATTCCTTTTGTGCTAGAGACCAGAGGAAGCATTCGTTTAGAACTCGCAACGTAGAAGAATGTTATGGTCTGCGTAAACATTGCCGTTAGATTGGACTTTTAATGAATATTTTCGCTTCGTTGATTCATTGTGCGCAAGTACCGCAGCTAGATGCCCTGAGAGACTTGTAGTGCAGAGATCTTGAAATGTTCACAAACTATGCCTTAGTGTTCGTATTGTAGTTATGATCCCGTTTAATAAACGGGATTGATGCTTACTTCACTTTTACAGTTAAACGAACTAAACTTAAAAACTGACACTAAATACTCGTTACAAGAATAACGTATTTTGTTAATACATTTTTGTAGGTTATGAAGAAAATAAAATAACGTTTAAGTATAAGAGTACCGAAATCTTAAAGAATAACAAATTTTAATATTTTCTATTATACAATTATCTCACTTCTTACGACATTATATTATATTCACGCTACATTTATATTATATTTAATTCATACCAAATTTACCATAATTTTAAAAATTTTAACCTAATTCAACAATTTTTAATACATGCGTAGTATAATTACGTATATTATTGAAAACGCCAAATAATTAATTTTCTCATATTAAATTGTTAATAATTTAAGTGTATTATTACTTTAAAACTTGAATTACTCAAATTAATTCGCGTTACATATTTCGCGGTATTAGACGTAACCTAAACATTCGTGTGATGGAATATCTTTGTCACCGCTTCGTCTATGGTTAAAATAGGTTGAAGTCTATAAAAGTAAGGAAAGAAGTAATATTTATTTTTGATATGACGGAAAAGAGAAAATAATGTTACTTTATAATCTACATTGTATTTTCTACACTTTTGAATGACAAACGTCTCATTTTCACTTACTTTTCGCTGTCGTCTAATATAGGTTTAGTTCCTACTATTACAGACTCTTTTTTTCATACAGCTAATCGCAAAATTGTGTGTACACGCATATTAGAAGTATGTTTATTTAGAGTAATAACATAACTTTTTGTCATATAATTTTTTTATTTATGTAATATATTCCTTTAAATCAAAAAATATTGAACAAAATTATTTAAATATATATTACTACGTATATACTTAAATATATAATACACGGCGAATTGTACCCTTTGACACAGATTTATCAAGTCTTGAGGAAACATCTACTGTTAATTTTGGTACAGTGGTATTAGGTTTAATTTTAATTTGTCGCACAATACATATGTACATATTTTCTTTCTCCCTCGACTGCTTCTATTTTGTAGTGTACCTTCGTATCTAGATTTATTAATTATTTTATGTACAGTAGAATGAGTTCTACCAATTATACTGCCGATTTCCCGAAGAGACTTCCCTTTGGAATATAAATTAACAATAATTTGACGAACAGAAACGTCTGTTTCCTTTCTTTCCAGAGCCATTGTTGTACCTGACGCAAAATAACAAACGAAGATTAACACAATGGACGTAATGTGTTCTGCGATGTTGCGTAGTAGTCTTTCTATAATAAAATTGGAAAACAAATGCATAACAACATTCATTTTTAGACGATTCCCATTCTGTACGCTCAATTATGCGTTGGTAAAATCGTTGCATGTTTGGAAACAATAAGGAAAAAAAACTAGTTTGCTTTAAAACATTAAATTTATTTAGCAGTCGAATTTAAACAGTAGTACAATAAAGGTAAATATTTAAATTTACTAATTATTGCAATTTTCTTTGCTATATGTTAAGAAATATACGTAGATTCAATACGAGTGTACACTCAATTCTGCGACCAGCTGTAAATGAAATATTAAAAACATTAAAAATGTTAAAAATATTAAAAGACAGTGCATTATAGAAGTGCAACCTACAAGGCTTTCGGCTGTGCCAAAAGTATATACTACTGGACTCTCGATTTCACCGACAAAACGAGACTTTTGCGTATTAACGCGTTTCATCTTAGCCGCTGCACGGACCAAACAAAAGAAAAGTCCAACGATGTTTGGAGAGGCGAGATAGTCAAGGGCGGCAGTTAGTGTAATACGAGACGTAAAAGAATAAACATTGGAAATTTTAGAACTGAAACTTTCTATACTTTAGAACCTTAGAAGTCCTTCTCCCTTAGATTTACAAATATTTGTCAGTTGAAACAATTCATAGAAATGCTAAGTATCACTGGAAAATTGTAAAACGAAAACTCCGTATCAACAAAATTAATTAAAAATACAGAGATTTATTAATAATTATATACACATAAATACTCGATTCTCAGATAAAATACTCTCCTCTCAAGATCGTAAATTTAATATGTATGTTCCAATCATATCGTACATTTAATACATATGTCAGTGTGAAATGAATTAGACGTAGAGTCGTTAAACACGGTAGTGTTATGGCTTTGCGAGTGTATGAACGTGTAAGAACGTAGAAAGCTTGTTTTTCATTAAAAATATAATACAGTTACTTAAGTACTTGAAAGAAAAATTAAACTAAAAATGCGTGTAGCAATTTAAAAGAACATTGTAATATTTCTAATGAGACTACTTCTAATGAGACAACGAACCGACTGCAAAGGCCGTATACGAAATATTAAACAAGGCAAGCGAACATTTTATGTTGCAGAACTGCTTGCGTGCTGATACCTTTTTTTTTTTTTTGGTAAAAAAACGGTTCAGGATGTACTACTTACTTCAAAGGAATCTTGGACGTTCATGTTACACATTACACGTTTTCTTCACATATTACATATTACATGCTGTAATGGTAACCATATTATGCTGTGATATCAATACAGCTGGCTCCTCAATATTTCGCTAAAAGATAAAGGAAATTAGATAAATTAAAAATTTGGTATATTATTATATATCGTAGTAAGAATAGAGAAATACTTGAAATTAGAAAAACAGTGACTTAAACATCTGTTAATATTGACGAGGAATAAAAAGTGTCATCTCGGAATCAAATATCTCGAAGAATTATGCAAACATCCAACACAAATATAAGACGTAAAAAAAATTAACTTAGATACTTCGAATAATGCGCCATACTTTACCTGCGCACTACTATCAAAAATCTTCATCTGCAGTGCAGAATTATTTGTCAATAAGCAATAGAAGCGTTTAAAAGTACCCAAATGAAACTTTACGAATTATTCGACGATATTTCCGAATAAGTGAAATTTGAATAAATGGCACAAATGTGACGTTGTTCCATCATGAAATTTTCCTTATCCTGCAGGAACTGCATGAAGTAATGAGATAATCTGAAGCAACAAGAATGGCTCGTCGCGACAGCGAAAGGTCCTTACATTCCCCGCAATCGATGCAACCAGGTTCCACGGTCTGCGTGAACACCGGCAGCGAACCACCCTTGACGGAATTGACACCATTAGAGTCAGCAACATGTACTGACAACAGCAGTACGATCAAGGTCAATACCGGTAACAGCGTGGTTAGCGCGACAGGAAATGCATCGAGTACCGTTCCGTCACCCCTGGTATCCTCGATATCCTCTCCGTGGGATTCCCGTATTCCACGTCCCTCGCCCACAGGCCTGCGACGTTCACTGAGCATGCGCATACACGGTGAGCGAGTTTCACCAAACCATCCACCATCACCCAGTACCGCGACCACCGCGGCCCTGAACAGGCACTATCAGCAATACCGTCGCTCGATCCTACAGCAGCAGCACCAGCAATACCATCATCTGGATCATCGCACCTTTCCAGTCATCACGGAGAATGGAACCGAATCACCGCGACAACGATCTCTCGTGAGTATTAAGTTCTGTTTTGAAAAGTGTGTGACCAATCCTCCCGAGTGATCTTCTGGTGAAATCGTTCCCCCCCAAAGTTCTTCTTCTGTTTCTTCTTCCGCGGTATTACGTCGTACTTTTTGCTTGATGCAGATCGCAGATGCGTCTTATCGACTATGCATTTGAATTGTGTTTTTCTCTTCGGCGATTTTTAACACCGTGTGAAAATCGTACGAAAATAAAAGGATAACGATAGGATAGTAGAAGTATAGGGGGGTTGAGGTGAATTTTCTGTCTGTCGATGGGTGTACACTGCTGGTGTGGTAGTAAAGATTTATTAGGATGATGGAGGCAAGCTGTTGCTTTATTTTTTTATAGAATTGACGATAAGAAAAGAAGTAACGATTGCACTGTGAAATTTGTATGTACCGAGATTGGTTTGTTTGTCGAGTTGTAGTAGATATATGTATAAGGTTCATGGTCGTAGTAATGTTTTTATTTATTACACATTTAATAGATATGGACAGTTCCAAAGAAACGAAATGCTAATAGAATTACTCAGTTCTAGTTTTATAGCACATTTGGCTTTCATTTATCTTTTTAATATTCACCGACAGTTCGTGTATACATATTACTCAATACTGTAATTGCATCTATACTGATAATTTATATTACTCGATAAATATTTCTTTATGTACTTTATTTTATGGCGAAATCGTAATATATTTTACCAAAATTATTTCTTCGATCTTGGTTTTACTAATACTACGATATACGTTGCACCATATTTCATGATAAAACTTTATTTTCAAAATTCAGTAATTCTGAAAATTCATGCAGACATAATTGCACATTAATTAACGCATTCATATTTTGCTTCATTTTTATTTTCCAACACAAATTTTGTTCTGGCCTCTGCTACGCTTTCAACTTCCACTGTACGATTTTTTAGCATAACATACCGGCCGTCGAATGATATTAGCGCGAGCTAAAGAAAAGCAGCAAAATTGACAGAAATTGTAAAAATTGAATTATTCGAATAACGCGAGAAATATAGGCAACTTGTCAAAAACAGTTCCCGGAAGTATTACATTACACTTTCGATCTATTTTTCGAGAACTGGGCATGAATGCCGCCGCGTTTTCTCTTACATCAAAGCAAGAGGGACGCGTGCAAGCGTGAAAAGATGTCTGGCGCTTAGCTAGACAGATTTTGAATTATTAACCGTGTCTAGGTTCGAGAAGATTCAAGATAGAGGCAGGAAAAATAAGAAGGCGCTCTGACCTTTTTGCAGGTTGTGCGTCGGCGCAAGTAGAAACTCTTCGCTACCTCTAGATGGTAATTTTGCGAGAAAACCGATCCTGCTGAGTAGTTATCGACGCTTTAATCCCGATAAATGCAACATCGTTGCAGACTGCGTTTCCTCAAATGTGGGAGTAGTAGGAAATAACCGGGATTACTTCCTATTTATTTTTACGAATCGGCGAATTTTGTAAACAATTTTCACTTCCGTCAAGATCAGAGCACGTGGATAGAAGTTCGTTTAACTTTTCGTCGGTGACGACTATTAACCCTTCGTAGGCAATCTAGGTCGTTAATGACCCAAGCGAGATTTCACTCTCGTATTTCTTTGAGAAGAATTTTTATTTTTTTTGAGAAAAGTTTGAAACATTTGACTTGACGAACAATTGTACAATATGGTAAAGACTTTGATAAGTATCTAGAATTTTTTCAGATTCTTTGAAAGCCTAGAACAGTAAAAAAATTAGACTGACATAAACAAATCAGTTTGAAAAAATATGGTTGATTTCTATGCGTATTTGTTTTAACGAACAATGTTACTCTAAAGAAAAAAGAAGTAATTCGTATATGTACATATCTTGTGCATCAGTATTTGTTGGAGGGAATATTTTATCAATTATTTTGATTTTGAAAATTTATACATGCTTTATGAAAAATATTTTTCAGTTAATAGTTGATTTTTCGTTAAAACAGGTTAACAAGGTTTTTCGATAAAATGATTCTCATATTTATTTCGTTATTGAAAACGCTTTGACCTTTTTTTTTTTCCCCAAGAAAAACTTTCAAAATACATATTGACGTGTTTATAAAAAGTATTTATTAAACGTAATGTAGTATTGAAAAATGTATCATTTAAAAAAATATTTTAGCCGCTTTTATCTGGCACTTGGCAAGTCCTACACGCTTCTCGCCTTTAATAAAGAGTCTCGTATCTTTCTGCTCAATAGGGTCTTTGATTTTACCTTACTTTCAAACCAGACTTCCAAGTCAAGACTCAAGAAAGCTTCCGCTTAAGCCTAAGGCAAAATCAGCCTTAGATCAACCAGGTATAAAAGCGAGAAAATATTATCTATGTTTAATCCTTTGAATAAAATGTTAATTAGATGTAGTGATTTTAATAAACCTATGAAATAAACGTTTTACGTGTAACTTTTGACAGTAAGGTGCCCCTTTAGCAAAATTATACACTAAAAATTAATGAGAATGAAAATTGCATGTGAGAAAAATTAATTTGTTCTAACAATTTTTCGTGACTAATCATAATTTTCTTTTATAGTGCACTAGATAAAAGCTGAAACGTTTCACACTCGTGTGATTAGTTGTATTTATAAATTATTAATAATATTTTATTCAATAATTCCTTACGATCTAATTCTTGATTACTCGAAGCAATGTAACTAACTCGATAAATATTATTTTATTTAACTTTTTGATTTATTCACTTTAATTCACTTTATTCACGCAATTTCACTTTACAAAGCAAAGCTTTTTGCTCGCATGAATAATTTGAAAATAAGTTTTTTCGCTTTCTTTTTCATTTGGATTCATCGAGTGCTGTGTTTTTAATAAGAAATCTAAGTTTAACTATGAAGGAAGTACTGTAACCGAGAAATCACAAGTGATTAAAGTCTGATTCAGAAATTATAAACGTGCAGAAAGTAGCGGTACAGTTAGAACGAAATTATATGTAATCTCGATGTAAGATCAGTGGCTATAAATTCACCAGTGGGTAAAGATGGGAACCAAATAATATCATTTTACTGGTTACTTTTGTACGAAAGTTCGTTTATTCACAACACTAAATAAATTACCTATTACCGTTTACGTTTTAGATTAAAATATACAAAGAATAATAACGAAGTCAGTTAAAACAATTACCCTAATAATTACACCATAATTATGACGAAATGAATGAATTTATTATTTATCGCCTTTTTATCTCTTTTAGAGCCTTTCATTGACCCCGGTGAGGCCGCGATCTGGACACGCGGCCTCCGGAGGATCAGACACGAGAATTGCCGATGACAGCGATACGGAAAGTGTAAAAAGTTCAAGAAGTGCCTATAGTACCGCGAGCGCCTGTGATCATGCTACCTTCGCCCTCAATGGTACGACGTGGTCCGGTAGATCGCGAAAATACGTCGTTCACTGTTCAAACCATACCAGTGACAACGAACCGTACCTTACTCCTACCCAAAGATCAGCTTTAAAAATTAGGAAATTTCAAGTAAGAATTAAATTTTTTTTTATTCACGAAACGTCTTCATTTTGCATTTCATTATATCAATAAGAATTATGTTGTTTTTTTTTTTATTTTATTGTAATGATAAAGAGAATGTTTTTTATGTAAGATTATTATTATTTAGATGTGTATGTTATTTTATAATAAATGATTTTATTTAGGCTTTACTAGAGGAAGCGCAAAAGAAGATCAAAGAAAAGGATGAAGTAATCCTTCGATTAACGAAGGAGGTTGTAGAATTAAGGTTATACAAAGCTTCTCTGAACAGTCCAGATGAGAGGACAGATAGTAGCGACGCCCTAACTATTAGGGAAAACAATCCTTTTTCACCGGAATCCCCAAGTAAGGATTTACCAGACGAAGCGACACTGCAAAAAGTCACGAATCAAGAAACTCCAGAGAAACGAGCACCCTCCGATTTACCATCCTCGCTAGCTGACTCAGGTCACTTTGAAGACGGATCCGTCCATTCGAAAGATTCTGTTTATTTACCAGAGGTGCAAACAGAAACTATTCATATTGCCACAACGCCTAATAAAGTTCCCGAAGAAACTACGTCCGATACGTTTGCTAGAACGGCCACAGAAACCCCAGAAAGAGATGAAGAGAGACGCAAATTAGTGAATCTTTATGAAAGTAGAATCGAAGAAATGCATCGTAGACATATCGATGAACTTCAAGAACTGAAGCAGAAACATAATAATAAGGTATATTCGATCGATGATATATATCAAGTGTTATCATATATACTGATATTAATGAAATGTATTAACTTATAGTAAGGGCCAAATGTATCGGCCGCTCGTGGCTTTACATTTTCCCTTTGTCGCTTTTTCATCTCGGCGGACCCTAAATTCATAAGTGAATTGTTTTAAATTTTAGGTGGAGAGTTTACTGAATCAATTAGCTGAAGTGAATACACGATACTGTGAAGTGAGACCTTGTATTGATGCTGCAGAAACTCGAGCTCGTGAATTAGAAGCGGAATTAGACGCTGTGAAAACGGAATTCGCAGAACAAAAAGCTTTACTGAATGAGCAAGAAGAAAGAAATAAACAAATGTACCTGAAGATGTACGCCAAAGGTCAAGAAGCAGCGCGCATAGAACAAGCTGATCAGGTATAGTTTAAACTGTTATTATTTTGCATATTAAATAAGTAAATAAATAAATTTAATTACAAGTGACTGTATTATTTCATAACAAGTAATGAAATAAATAATTTTCAATAATTAAGTACAAATTTTAAATATTTATATCTGTATATATAAATTAGTACATATGTATTATCATATCTACACTTATAGATACTTCACCATGCGCAGCAAACACCACCAAAGGTTACTGTTGCAGAACTACTTCAACAATTGACAGTTACACAAGCAGAATTAGAAAATATCAAGGTAAATGTTTTTATTTCAGTTGTTACATTTACTTTCTTACATTATTAATATTATAATGTTAACATTATACACAAAGCACATTAAAAAAGGAAGGCTAAAATTCTTTATGCCTGATATCATTTACAATTGAGGCTTTATCTTTGATTATATAAAATAGCATGAATTTCATTTTTAACACACTGTACCAAAATTTTTAAATTGCTTAATATAATACTAGAATTCATAGTCAACAGCAGTACATACATATATTACAAGATTACTATCTATAACACTAAAGGTAATTTTATTTTTTAATTCAAGGCATCTGTTTTATTAAACAAAAAGAATGATGTTTTGTCCGTAGATGTTGTCTATTCGTTGCACAAGATTTTTCCATCCTTTATGTCCTCAGTGCTAATCATTTATATGTGTTATTTTTATTTTCCTTGCATATGGTATAACAAATGAACTCTATACAATTCTCAAATGAAACCCTAAAGTCTTCAAAAATTATAAGAAAGTTTTTTACTTGTAATATAAGAATAATTTGGGATTGTATACAATACCATTCTATGTTTCTAGTAACTTTTTCACAAATTTAGTGGAATTGAAAAGATTACATCTGTTTATTCATTGAAGAAAAATAACGATATATAGTTATTCAGACATACGAAAATAAAAGAAATACAATTTGGGAATCACTGTCGTTGCTGCATCACTTTTTGTGCATCTCTGTAGTTCACATATCTTGTACTAATGATGTGCCACTTTTTTTGGTCGCCGCTCACACTCCAGGACACAAGCTACTCGCCTGAACCTCACATTTCAGCCGATCGTAGCCAAAGTTTATTAAGTGCTCAGGAGGCTGTTTCTCTCTGGGTCCTTGGCACACGTAAGGTCTGTATTTCTGCTGAATCGCCACGTGATGCAATTCTCATCCACTGTTTCCTAAGCATCAACGTTGTATTTGGTCACATACAGATGCACACAACTTTCTTCTTTTCTCTCTATTTTTGCCTTTTTGAAGTTTTTGGTTGCAAAATAGTGGATTCTTATAATTTCATAACTATGTTTGTTAACAGAATGTCTACATTTAATATCCCTTAATTGGAAAACGGAAATATAGTTGCTGATTTTGCAAGTTATACTATTTATGTAAACCGTTGCTATTATGTACTCCAACCTTATATGCTTATATTTTGTTGTAATATTATTATAGTATTTCTCTAAATATTATCATTATTTTTTTTAGTACAAGTAATTATTAATATGTACAAAAGTTTTTTCAAACATTTCTACTTACTATATGTCAATTTCCTTTTATGAATAGCAAGTTATATTACTAAACATTGGAAAGACTTTTTATTAAACTGTACAGATATGTGTATATTCTATTTTCCAAGCATGAAAACAAATGCGAAATAAGTGTGTAAACATAATGGTAAATAGTTTGTATGAAATGCGTACATTTTAATGTTTCTGAAAGAAGTAAAGTGATAGTTATATTAAATGTAGTTAGTGTATGAAAATTTAAATGATACATGCACTACCGTCCACAAGTTTAAATCTTTATAACTTTGTCATTTTTTGTGAATTTCCATATAGCGAAAATGTTTTCAAGACTATGAACATGCAAAAATCTATTCTAATCCAGTTTACCGATTTATGTATGTATGTACCTTCATGCGAAAGATCCGAAAGATCAAGTCTAAGCCTAAGTCCAATTCTCTTTAATAATACTATCAAAACATTGATCTCTCTTCAGGATGTCGGTGAATAAATTAACGGCAGTTATTTCCGGGAAAGTTAAAGTTTTCAATTTTCAATTTCAGTTTTCGATCTTTAATTTTCAATTTCTGTTTTCGATCTTCAATTTTCAGTTTCAGTTTTTAATCTTCAGTTGCCTAGATTTCATAGGCTTCGTTCCAGTTTAATCTTCTGCGTTTAAGAATGCTTGTCAACAGTGGCTTCTTTACTGCTACATGTTATATAAATCCTGTTTCATCCAATTGCTTTTTGCAACAGTTACTCTGATACTTTTCCTCTAACAGCGCTTGAACTCTGTGCTATTTTAGGAGCTGGAAACCGCCGTTTGCTTAGTAAGGTCTCAATATAATGATCTGCCTTTTTTCGAGACTAGACGAAATCTTTCCCTTCGCTTTCGGTCCTTCAATTCCGTTGTTTCTTCTTTTCATTTAATAGTTTAACTTCAGAAAACTTTGAAACTTTCAGGCGCTTTATAATTTCTGAATTCAATAGTGATAGAGAATACAGAATTTTTACCCGTGTTTCTGTGTTTCTAGTTGCTTTGTTTTTGCCATATTTCTCTACATTGGCACCTTTATTATTACTTTAGGAGATCCTTAGCGCGCGCTTTAAAAGTGTCAACCTACGCTCTCTACTTAACTTCACCTATTAAATTAATTGACCTTGCTAATGTTGTGCAAGGTTAAAAATAATGTTTAACATATTAGTAAATGTTCATTTATTGCACTTTTTCGAAAAATGGTGACATTTTTTATCTGCCCATTTTTATGGAATTTTCGTTATATTATTTGAATTATCAAACAA